TTACCTAAAAAACACCCTCTACATCCGTTGTCAATTAAAGATGTCAAGTTTTTTTTTACGGATGCGATTTTTAAAATCACCTAAAGATTTGCTTAATGTCTTTTTTGTCTAATTTACTCCACAGTATGGGACCTATATATCTAAGGGAATGCTTACCAAACGTGACTGTGTTAAATGTAGGTATAAAAAAAACTGAGTTTCTAAGGCTGTAACAAGAATCACGAGGTTTGAACATGTTAGTAATAGCTTCGGAACACATCTTGGTGTGTTTAACTTTATACATCAGAATACAAATGTCTTGAAGACGTCTATTTAACAGTGTAGGCAGATTCGCCCTATTCAATAACTGATTATAGCTGGACTTTGTGTCCCTATAAACGGCCTTTAATCCTCTTTCCTGGATTCTCTCCAGCCTACGAGTATCACTAGCCCTACAAAAATGCCATACTAGATGGCAATATGTTAAATATGGTAGGATGGCTGTTTTGAAAAGTACTAATTTTGCAGTGGTGGGAATTAAGTTTCTCAGTCTCATGTGCTCATTAAAATTTAACTTATTATCTATTGTAACTCCTAACATTTTCAACGTATCAGACGTCTTAATGATCCTACCATTTAAGTTCAAGCTAGCTTTATCTTCTGTACAACTCATCTGTTCGTTCTTACTACCATATTTATTTTGAATGTATTTTGAATGTATAGTCTGATATTTCTTCAAGTTTCCCTCCAAGAGATTATTTTCGTACCACTCAGTTGCACTAAAGGCACTTTTCTCGAGCATGGTATGCACTGAGTTGATTCCTTTACCTTTCAGGTATATTTGATGGTCATCGGCATACATAGAAATATTAGCATCAATATCATACACGAGGTCGTTCTGAAAGATATTCGATAGCAGCGGGCCCAACATACATACATACATATTACATACATACATACATTTATTACAATTTTCAAATAACATAAATTACATGCATAAATCTTGACCCGCATTTAGCTATGCTAGTCTAGGCGGGCCAGATTATTAAAATAATATTAATTATTTAAAAATAATTGTTATTTACATTATATTCTTATTGCTGATTGGTCTAAGGAATTATCAGGTATTTACATTAAATAATTAGATATTTACATCTCAAACTTTTATTTTACTTTAACAGTTTTTATTTTATCTAAAATAGAGGATGCATCAAGATATGAATTGTCTTGATGAAGAAGCATTAAAAGTACTTCATGAAATTTCTTTTTGAATTTCTTTTTGTTAATTCCCTGACAGTACAAGGTATCTCATTCCACACCCTATCACCAAAATGTGAAAAGGAATTCTTTAAAACATTTGTTCTTGAGTGTCTAATGTAAAAGTTTTTAGATGTAGAAGAACGTATTCTGTAGGAGTGAATATCTGAGACGTCACTGAATAAAAGTTGAATGTTTAAAGGGGCAGCTTTGTTTCTTACATAATGCATAAGATTGGCCACATATTCAAAGTATGCATAGTGCAGAGGTAACAATTTAGCATCTGTAAACAATGGAATCGGAGGTTCATTTCGTTCGGTGGAATAAATAAATCGGAGAGCTCTTTTTTGCAGCACCAATATTTTGTCAAGATGGGTCGCACACGCCTGGTCCCAGACTGTTATGCCATAGTTAATATATGGAGCAATTAAAGATTGATAGATTGTCAAAAGTGTACGCCTTGGAATAAAATACCTTAATTTAGAAATTAAACCTACAGATCTATTTATTTTTGTTAAAATATAATGAATGTGATCTTTCCAAGTTAGGTTCTTATCAATGAAAACTCCAAGATATTTAACGTAATCCTTGCTTTCAAGGGCAATTTTCTTGTTTTCTGTGTTATCCAAAATAGAAATCTTAGGTTGAAAAGGAAGAGGTTTTTGACGTGGATGGAATATAACATAATTTGATTTTTTTATATTCAAAGTAAGTTTGTTGGAGGTCAACTAGTCGTAAACATTTTGTAATTCCCGATCCACTGTTTGTTCTAAAACCTTTAGACTTTATCAGAGTATAAGAGATTAGTATCGTCGGCAAATAGATAAAAATGAAATTGATTAGAGCAGGAACTTATATCATTTATATATATCAGAAATAAAAAGGGTCCTAACACAGAGCCTTATGGCACACCACAGGTGATCTTAGCTTTATTAGAGATATGTGAACCTAATTGAGTTGTCTGTGTCCGGCCTTCAAGATAGGAGGAAAACCAATCATTAATTATTCCCCGACATCCATAATGATAGAGTTTTGATAATAAGATATTGTGATTAACAGTATCAAATGCCTTWTTTAGATCGATAAAAATGCCACACGAAAACAACCGTTTGTCCATGTTTGTCTGCATTGTATTTAAGATATCAATTATAGCATGTTGTGTTGAATGAGCTTTCCTAAATCCGTATTGGGAAGGATTAAGCAGTTCTTTATCATCTAAAAAAGATTGCATTCTTGAATACATAATTTTTTCAAATATCCGGTTAAAGTTTGAGAGTAAAGAAATTGGTCTGTAATTATTAGGATCACATTGATCGTCAGATTTATAAATTGGTATTATTTTGGACATTTTCAATTTTGATGGATATGATCCAAGCTGTATAGTTAAATTGAAAATTTCTGCTAATATTTCTTTGATAGAGCTACTTGCATACTTTAATAAGTTTGTTGAACAGGAATATAGGCCGTGTGACTTATTATTAGGGATAGATAATATTTCAAGTTGTATCTCAGCTGGAGAGGCTGGTTGACAAAAAAATGACGAGTCAGGAGACTTACTCTTATTTAAAAAGTAAGAGAAATGTTGTTTAGCTTCAGGCTGTTTACTTGCTAATTTATTTCCTACTGTTGCAAAATGCTCATTTAGAATATTTGGTATTTGTGATAAATCTTTAGTAATCGTGTTACCCCTATTAGGATCTTTGAGTGAATGGATGCATTTAAGATTTGATTTAGTATTATTTGTTAGAAGTCTGTTTATTCCTATCCACGTTTTCTTAATATTCTTTATATTAGAGGAAAAGAACTCATTATAATAATTTACTTTGCTAATCCTAGTCAATCGAGTGATCTGGTTTCTATAAAATTTATAATTCATAAAATCACCATCAGATGCAAACAGTTTGTTTTTCGTTTTGATTGCTGCACGAATTCCTTTGGTTATCCAAGGCTTTGATAGTTGTTTGATTTGACGGGCCGAAATAGTTTTGAATGGTGCATGCTTGTTTACGACCGCATTAAACTTTTTGTAAAAACATGAAAAGATGTTGTCTATATCCCTTGTGTTGTTACGAAAGATTTCTTTCCAATCAATGTTTGAAAATACGTCATGAAATTTATTTACAGAAAAATTAGAAAAGTCACGTACTTTGATTTTTGGTAACACAAATGTGTCCTTATTTGTCTAGAGGATACAGAACTGTGAAAAGTTCAGTACCACTGGACTTACTGGTTGTAATGCAAGTTTTGAGCACTCATTCACCAGTAGCTTCGGTACTATACCGCAGCAGGCTTCAATCGCTGGCACTCAGAGTGGTCACCGCGGCCAGGGTTTTGTTGCGTTCTTAGGCGGTAGGAGTCACTAGTGTACTTGATAAGTCTGGTCCAGGTATAACTAAGGTAGTAGGAATCTTCTCTGTTGAAATTATTTGGGCGTTTGAAGGTTTCGATGGATTCTTTGATGCGTCGAGGGAAGTATTTGGAGGTCTTGGCGAGAACTTGAACAGAATTAAAGTCCATGTTATGATCAGGGTTGTCGTGAAAGTGGTTGGCAATGGCGGAAAGATAATTACTGACAACCCTGATCATAATGTCCATAGCTTCATTGCCTCTTCTCACGCTTTGTTTCCATATATGCGCTACATACATTTCCATCATCATTCTGATGAAGGATATCACCAGGTATAGCTGAAACGTCATGCTTTTTAAAAAATCTACGCGTTTCATCCGCAATTTTGCTTTTGATTATTCGCATCTGAACACGAAAGCCCCAAAGATAATAAAAAAATGACGTTAAAAACTAAAGAAAACACATAAAGAAAAATAACCAAAGAAAAAAGTATATGCTATTTTCAAGCAACTGCACTAACTTAGTAGAGGATGTAAAATTTATATTAGGCTCAAAGATATAATCGTCTTTCGATTTCCTTCCAGTCTTGCCAGAATCTACATCAATCAGCATTTCTCCAAACCAGACGGGTTTTTGTCGTGGAAGTAATGCCACCATCTCCTGTACATCCTATGCCAAGCCTCCTGCTAAATACTCTTTGTATCACAACACAAAGCTGGTCCATGATAACAGTACAAGTGGCGTGTTTAGTGTGACATTGAATGATACAGGAAACAACAGCTACACCTGTGTACCGTACAATACTGTGGGGTTAGGTCAAAATAGAAGTGTGGAGCTCCTTGTCAAAGGTACTATGGGAGTACTAAATCTCTCTTTCAAACATTTTGTTATTTCATGGTCATATATCTAACACATAAAACTGATATTTTCGTGCTTTGTTCAGTAATAAAGCACGCAGGAAGTGGCGTAAGCACAAAAGTAGTGTAAGAAGAAGCGCAAGACGTGGTAGGCAAGTGCTTCTCACACTTCTTCAGTCACATTCTAATATGTGCTAATATGTTGATTTATTATAGATATTTAATATAAAATTAGAATTTGTTTATGATGCTAAATAAAGTACGTTATTTATGTATTTGGTATTACATCATCAACGTTTTTTTCCTCAAAACGATTTTAAAATGACCTTAGTTCAAGCATTAAAAAATTGTATGTACTGCATGACTTTTCCTTTTTTATAACTTTCATGACTTTGAATTACTGTTTTGCTTCTCTTTTTCATTACAATATTTGAGGTGACACTTGCCATAGAAACATAATACTAGCACTATTTCATAGAGTGAGGGCAATTTTATTAACCCTCTAAATAAAGTCTACTATTCAACATCAGATGTAATACTCCACACAAACAAAGCAATGGAATTAGGGTCTACTGTGTATTAATCTGTTTCACGGGTTTAATGACTTTCTATGTGAATTCAAATTACTACTTGATGTTTTGCTTTTTCTCTCTGTAGAACCCCCAAATATTGATGGATGTCAGGTTATCAGTAAGTATATGATCAATGGATCAGTTATCGAAGGAAAAAGAGTGACGTTGTCGTGTAAAATCACTGGTAGTGATCCGCTGAACATAACATGGACCAATGTTGTTCAAGTGTGGAATCAAGTGAACCTGACGTTCAATTCTGTCAACAGAGAAAATACTGGAAATTACCTAGTGACAGTTAATAATGGCAAAGAGTGTAAAAAAACAGCATCGGAAAATCTCTCACTCAGTGTATACTGTTAGTGTTATGTCACAATTGTTATTTTAGTGATCTGAATCTAGTTTTACAACTTTTCAAATTGTCTCGTCTATATCGATCACATGATGTGATGGTGTGTTAATGTACCAAGGGCAATTGTCTAAAGGTTGTTTTAGAATAGGCTAAACTAATAGCTACTAGCTAATTTAATTATTCATCTACTAATACCTGGCCATTAGAGCTGATACTGTGTGTGTCTAATGCATATCCCATTTTTTCTCATACTAATTATCTTCATCATCGTCATCATCATCATCATCATTATTGTAATTGTTATAGCATAATTGTTAAACAATGCCAGATAAAAAGTTTTACTTTTTCCTAGTTTTGAGTTAACTATTTGCGGTACTTATTTGTAAGATAAAATATTAAGCAACTTTATATTTTACTTTTTTTAAACGGGCAAAAACTTAATGCGCCAAAAATGACCGATCTATTGCAAAAAAGGTCTAATTGTACCCCTCTTGACGAGCAGCAATGCTTATTTTAAATATTGGTTATGGGAACGTTTCATATCGGTTTTTTAAAGAGTTCCCTAAGATTATACCGTACTTCTATTATTTGAAATTGATTGTCGTATATATATCTATTATTTATTCAACTATCCTATTCAACAACATTGCAGTCCCTCCAACAATCATTTTGTTGATTTGTCAAGGCTGTCAAAGTGGAGTTGCCGTCGAGAACCAAACCATCACCTTGGTGTGTAATGCTACTGGTAACCCCATGCCAAACATCAGATGGATGAAAAATGGACAATATTACGATGGAAATAGTTCAGTATCAAGTCCAATGAACAAGCTTGTCTTCCAAAAATTTGCAATAAGCGACACAGGAATTTACATCTGCATTGCTGACAACGGGGTTGGCAATCCGGGAAGGAAATCATTCMTTTTATCTGTTAACTGTAAGTGAAGATTTAATATACTCAATGTAMATTTTGTCATGCGAAAAGAACAATTCATTTTCATAAGGGAAATTTTTCTAGCTACTGATTATCATTGATCAAAGTGACGAATAATGTTTGTCCTGAAAACTAGAGGATAGCGCTTTATGTTTGCAATTTCATTCAGGAGAGGTTCATATTTCCGACAAAAAGCAGCGTTATCTAGTCATCAAAAGTCGCTTTCAGGCGCACGTTGAACATTTTAACATTACTTAAGGATATTGATACAAAATATGAATTATGTAGAGTGGTTTTCATAAACCCATGAAACAAAGTGTACCATTAGAGTGTAATAAGAGTAATAGTGAGAGTAATAGTCAGATTAACACAGAAGAAAACAAAAGAATTAGAGTGCAAAAAAAAGTGTATTTCATGGGTTTATGAAAACCACTCTATTGTTTTACGCAATTGCCAAATTACTGGACACACAAAAATGTATTCACTGGTATGTCAAAGAGGATTGCCCGTTATTTTTTGTTTTTTTGTTTGTTTGTTGTTGTTGTTTTTTTAAATCCAATCTCGCTTCACCTAGAAAGGCCGCTGACTTTCTTCTCCTCTCCCACCAACGAACTTAGTTTTCATTCATATGTAAGCGAAGCTGGTTGTATGAAAACTGGCCTTCAATTACATTACAATTGCACCATGCTTAACAAGGTTGTATCGTAATGTATGATGCGTTGTTATTTTCCAGACAGACCAGAAAATACCAGCATTAAGATATCTGATGAGAAAAAGGTCTTCTGTGAAGGAGATTCGATACACGTTACTTGCACGTCACACGCGAAGCCCGCCCCAGTTTACTCTTTGTATCGTAGTAACGTGTTTCTTGGTAGTAATGCTATTGGTATCTTTGTTGTTGAACTTGCTGAGAATGGAAATTACAGTCTTACCTGTATACCAAATAATAAAGTTGGTATTGGACCAAGTAAGAGCGAAAGTGTTACAGTAAAAGGTAAACCTGATAGCATACCATAGCATGGCATGGCTGATAGTTATATATGCAAACCAGGAGAAAATGTCAATGATAGAGTAGAGTTGTTCCTAACAAAAGCGTAAGGGATGCAAATGTACGCCTTAGCACCTTGGGGATGCAAATGAGCAAAAAAAAAAAAAAAGCGCTCGAACTGCATGCATAGATAATCATTGTATTGTTAAGATATCTGGCTGTCTGTGAAAAACGTGTTTTGTTTTCATTTTTCACTGTCAGCTCATTGCACATGTCTTAAATTCTACCTTACTTTCAAATGTAATAAAGCCATTTTTGCTATGACGATACAGGGACCGGTTGTATTGAGGGAAGATAGCGCTATCAGATGGATAAATCGATAGCATATTAGGTAAAATGTCATGAAAGATATCCCCTAGTTTTTTTCAACACTTCTACCTCTTTCTTTCCCAATTAACAGAACCGATTTAAAAACAGACATCCTAAAAAAATCCAACTTCGAATTTATTCATAATTTTCAGAGCCTCCCAAAATCACCAATTGCCGTATTAATGGCTCTCTAAGTACGAGTCAACCAGTCGTTGAAGGGGATGTGGTAACAGGGAGATGCAGTGCATCTGGAAGTCCTCCACTCACTGGAAGATGGACCAAATATGGACGTGTGTGGAATGGGAATGATCTTATATTCAACCCAATGAATCGAGCAGATGCTGGATCCTACAAGTTTATCTTACACAATGGAGACGAATGCAATAGAACCGAGCAAAAAATTCCAATATCTGTTTATTGTAAGTAGACTTGCTAGATGATAAAGAAAATTCCATTGTTTACAATTAAACCCTATAGGTCGTCAACGTTACACGTCAATTCCGGTCTCGTGTGGGATTTTTATCACCTGCATAGCAAGTTTACTATGGAAATGTACACCAATGGATGATTGCGAAAGGGAGCAGGGCTTGCTCCTCACTGAAGTCTGTTAATCAGATATTCAGATTTATGACATTCATTTAGCTGATTGATATCAAGCCATTTCTTTGTATCCTAAAGCAGTGTCGATGCTGACTGACTGAGTGAATAAATGATTGTTTGATTCAATGATTATCAATGTAAATATTTCTTTCGTTTGTTTCTCTTTTTAAATAGACTTAGATCTTCTGGAAGTGATTGGATCAAGTAACAAGAGCTACAGTCAGTCCAATCCACTGGTATTGTTCAACCTTAGTATCAACGCATATCCCAGTAACACATCCCTGTCTTGTAATCCTTCTGCACCGAATATATTGACTRCCATCACCAGCCATGATGCAGGGTTAAATAGAAAACAGTATCTGGTGGTGGCTATCATTCAGAATGATTTGGATAGTGCTAGCATTGTATGTAAAGCTGAAAATAGCGTTGGTGTACGAGAAAGGACATTGCATTTTTACAGACAGCYGATAGGTGAGTAATCTTTAATAAGAGTTACAAATGTCACTGGCTTAAGTTGAGCCAGTCCTGATGTTTCTTGCTATGATCTACCAAGCCATWTTTTACTGGTTTTGTCTTCTAATTTAGTCTTAAAGGAAGCTTTTGCCGGCCAGTTTAGTATAACAAACCCAAAATGGCAGGATGACCTTCAGGACGTAAAGTCAGCAGGCTACAATGATCTTAAACAGAAGTGCATCAAAATAGTAAGAATTTTCATTTTCGTTCGTTCGTTCGTTCGTTCGTTCGTTCGTTCGTTCGTTCGTTCACTGCACAGTCATTGTTTTCATTCGTTTATTTTATTTGTTTCTAGTTAGAAGCTGYATACTTTGGTGTACCATATTTGGCTGCCATAAAAATTAAGGATTTCATGTAAGTATTCAAATATATAGTGGCTATAATTTCAGTAACTGTACTTATATTCGCTAAGCACCGCCACAAAATTATACAGCAGTAGCGCAGTTCGCCAGGGTCTGTGCTATAGATCCTCTCTCCTTACTGAATTTGAGCACAGGTTAGCCTTGCAGTTAAGAAAATCCACACGATATTCTTACCCACATGAGTGATKTCRWTATATTATGGTTGAACTTGAGCAAAGCTGTATTSTTTTTAWMTTTACGACTTTCATTACAATAGTAAGGGAAGCATCATAGTGCGGTTTGAGCTCGAAGTCATTGGTAAAGTACCTGATCCACTGCTGCCTTTGAGAGATTATATCAAAASACAAGGAGAAGARATCAATGGCTTRCAGATAGACTACAACAGCATTCAGAAATCAARTGGTAAGATGGTTTAGTAGCTTGGATTCGACTCGGGGAAGGCMATGGGTGTTTTTACTTTTGTATTATCACTGATTTCATTTCTACTTGCTGATCAAGGTAATCGAGAGATCAAATAAATCGTACTCATATACTTACGATTTATTTGACATGTTCGCGGTAGCCTAGTGCCTTATTTCGCTTTCGCGACAGTTGCCGGTCTCGATACCGTGCAGTAATCAAAACAGTGGTAAACACCTGTGGGACCATATCTGTATTGTATTGTGATAACATAGATAATCCGTATGCCGCAGATCAAGAAAATAAGCCGATTCCATGTAAAGAGGAGAACAAGACACTGTTGGCAGTTCTTGGAGCCCTGTTTGGTTTGTCGATTGTCCTGGTCATCATGCTTATAGTGGGGTTCCTGTGGTTCCGTAGGAAAGGTATGCTATTTTAYTTAGGGTGCAAACACATTGAACATAAGAGTACAGACAAAAAAGGGGTAAAAAGTTAGGATTAACATTTTAACGATATTTKTTCCTGATTTTAGATCCAAAAGGAAATTCTGGGGAAAAGTACGCACCAATCTGAGACATTTAGACGATAAAAGGTCTGATAAATAAAAACAATTAAATGTTAATATCGCCTTTTGCAGATCAAACGGAAGTGACAAGATAGGACAAATGGTAATGTTATATGTGTAAATCTTAGCACATTATCTAATATTATCTACGTATGATTGATATTGAGCATGGAACTTTGATGCAGCTATCCATGTTATTCATTCATTCATCCATCCACCCACCCA